TATAGTCTGGACTATAAATCAGTTTATAGTCTGGACAATAGATCAGTCTATATTCTGGACTTTAGATCAGTCTATAGTCTGGGCTGTAGATCAGTTTATAGTCCGTACTGTAGATCAGTTTATAGTCAGTCTGAAGTATATAGTCTGGACTATAGATGTGTCTATATAGATGGACTCTAGATTAGTTTATAGTTCGGACTATAGATCAGTCTGTAGTTTGAACTATAGATCAGTTCATATTGTGAACTATATTTCTAGCCTATTGATACAGTCGAATGACAGTGATGCCACTTGAGATCAAAATTAATCGAAAACAGTTTTCTGATCCTTTTGATTCTTAAGGCATCCAAAAAATTTTTCTAAAGTTCGCCAAAAAAAAATCATTAAAAATTTAATAAAACTTGTAAATGAATTAATTACACCTGTAGCAATTAAACAATAGCCCCCCCCAAAAAAAAAAACATTAATATAATTAATTGTTAAACCACGTCTCTGACCACAGGTGGTGTTGGCGAAGGTGGTAGTGGTGTTGTTGTTCAACTGCATGACCATCGTATGTTGTTTGTTACTTGTTTTTTTATTATAATTTCTTATTTTGGTCATTTTCTTTTACAACATTTTATTTGGTGATCATGAACAGCTACAAGTGCACGATCCATCAGACGATCGATCGATTAAGCTGCCAAGATCTGTCCGTCCATACGTGCGTCTGTCTGTCCTTCTTCATTAATATATTGGGGTATAAGTAGTTTTTTTTTATATAGAGAGCCATCACTACATTTAACACTTTGTGTCAAGTGAAAGGCGCGGCTTTAAGCTTTTTATGGAGCGTGAATTGTTTTTTTAAAATTCCCTAAATTGTAGTGTATTTTAGTTTCTTTCTTTCTTCTTTTTTATTTCTTATAAATTTCATTTAAGTTATTTTCTATTTTTGATTGATGATATTTTGAATAAAATTTTTTGTATTTTCTTTTTTGTTTATAGCTTCGTCTGTACGGCTATAATAAGAAATTATAAAAAAAAAAAACGAAAAGAAATAAAATTATTTTAAACATTCAATGCAGCATTACTACTTACTACTGCTCAACTGCATTAAAAAAATTATAAATAAATAAAAAAAATGTACATAAATATTTATGTACTTTTTTAAAAATGAAAGAGAAATAAGTAAAAGTATATCATGCAGATGAAATTATAATAAATTTTGTAAATTTTACATGTTCTACAAATTTTTTGTACAAAACGAACATTTGGGGGAAAAGTTTGGCACAGACATGGAAAAATAACACGCTTAGGTTTATAGTGATACTTCATATACTTGACAAACTCAGAATATGCAGAGTTTAGCATAGATTTTTCAATTGAAGATCATAGAAATTAGAAGCGCTCGATCAATTGCTATAAATTTTGTTTCTAAATTTTAAAGAAATTTTCTATCTATTTGATATTTTAACAAAATTTTTTAACTATGTTTTTGTTGTTAAAACTGTTGCCGCTGGTGCATGGCCAATTTTTTTGTGCTGCAGCACACCCAGTCCATCCATCCAATTCCATGTAATAAAAGAAGTTTTACAAGGTTAATAAAAAAAATAGTGGAATTTTGAAATGGCTCTTGAAACTCTGAACAATAAACAAAATACACAAAAAAACAACAACGAAACAAATTAAATTAAAGCTCTTAATGTTGAAATCATCATTATTTATTTTTATTTACACTGAAAATCAACATGATGATCATGATTATGATCATCATAATGATGATATTGTATGTTATTGAGACTTTTCTTTCAACAAGCTAAAGTGAAACATAAATATACAAACGTACAACTACAACAATGTAAATTTTAAAGCAATCCAAAGTATTAAATTAAATTTAACCCGCCATTATTAACCGGAGCGCAAAAAAAATAGTATGTGTTTACAAAAAAAACTACTAAAACAATAACAGCGAAAAGAAAACTTTTGCAAATTAAAACAAAAGATCACAACAAGGCCAAGAATGCAAGCAACATCGAGTAACAACAACAAAAACAAACAGCATCCCTGAGTCGTCTATAAATAATAATAAACAATTTTTTTCTGCCGCCTTAAAAATGTCTTCCTACATTACTATCCGCCGACTGGTTAAATGTTTATCTGGCGGTGTGTGTGTTTGTTCGATAAGCAGGATTATATTAAGTTGGTGGAATGATTGGCTGCCTGGTAAACTACTTCTCCTCTTATTTTTGAAACTCGAAACATCAAGAGTCCAGACATTAGCGAAATCTAGGGTACAGACTATAGAGAAGTCTATAGTTGAGGCTTTAGATAAGACTATAGTTAAGACTATGGTAAAGTCTATGGTCCAGACTATAGTCCAAACTATGGAGAAGTATATAGTCTAGACTATTGAGAAGTCTATAGTCCAGACTATAGAGGAGTCTATAGTCCAAACTATAGAAAAGTCTATAGTCCAAACTTTAGAAAAGTCTATAGTCCAGACTATAGTCTAAACTATAGAGAAGTCTATAGTCCGGACTATAGAGATGTCTACAGTTGAGACTTTTGATAAGTCTATAGTTAAGACTATGGTAAAGTCTATGGTCCAGACAATACAGAAGACTATAGTCCAAACTATGGAGAAGTATATAGTCCAGACTATTAAGAAGTCTATAGTCCAGACTATAGACTATATAGACTATAGCCCAAATCATAAGAGAAGTATATAGTCTAGACTACTGAGAAGTCTATCGCCCAGACTATAGAGAAGTCTATAGTCCAGACTATAGAGAAATCTATAGTCCAGATTAAAGAAAAGTCTATAGTCTAGACTATAGAGAAGTCTATAGTCCATACTATGGAGAAGTCTATAGTCCAGACTATGGAGAAGTCTATAGTCCAGATTATAAAGATTTCTATTGTCCAGACTATAGAAAAGTCTATAGTCTAGGCAAAAGAGAAGTCTATAGTCCAAACTATAAGAGAAGTATATAGTCTAGACTATAGAGAAGTCCAGACTATAGAGAAGTCTATAGTCCAGACTATAGAGAAATCTAAAGTCCAGACTATAGGGAAGTCTATAGTCCAGACTATAGAGAAGTCTATAGCCCAGACTATAGAGAAGTCTATAGCCCAGACTATAGAGAAGTCTATATCCAAACTATAGAGAAGTCTATAGTCCAGACAATAGAGAAGTCTATAGTCCAAACTATAGAGAAATCTATACTCCAAACTATAGTGATATCTATAGTCCAGACTATAGAGAAGTCTATTGTCTAGACAATAGAGAAGTCTATAGTACAAACTATAGAGAAGTCTATACTCCAAACTATAGTGATATCTACAGTCCAGACTATAGTGATATCTATAGTCCAGACTATAGTGATATCTATAGTTCAGACTATAGAGAAGTCTATAGCCCAGACTATAGAGAAGTCTATAGCCCAGACTATAGAAAAGTCTATATCCAAACTATAGAGAAGTCTATAGTCCAGACAATAGAGAAGTCTATAGTCCAAACTATAGAGAAGTCTATAGTCCAGACAATAGAGAAGTCTATAGTCCAAACTATAGAGAAGTCTATAGTCCAGACAATAGAGAAGTCTATAGTCCAAACTATAAAGAAGTCTATACTCCAAACTATAGTGATATCTATAGTCCAGACTATAGAGAAGTCTATTGTCTAGACAATAGAGAAGTCTATAGTACAAACTATAGAGAAGTCTATACTCCAAACTATAGTGATATCTACAGTCCAGACTATAGTGATATCTATAGTCCAGACTATAGTGATATCTATAGTCCAGACTATAGAGAAGTCTATAGCCCAGACTATAAAGAAGTCTATAGCCCAGACTATAGAGAAGTCTATATCCAAACTATAGAGAAGTCTATAGTCCAGACAATAGAGAAGTCTATAGTCCAAACTATAGAGAAGTCTATACTCCAAACTATAGTGATATCTATAGTCCAGACTATAGAGAAGTCTATTGTCTAGACAATAGAGAAGTCTATAGTACAAACTATAGAGAAGTCTATACTCCAAACTATAGTGATATCTACAGTCCAGACTATAGTGATATCTATAGTCCAGACTATAGTGATATCTATAGTTCAGACTATAGAGAAGTCTATAGCCCAGACAATAGAGAAGTCTATATCCAAACTATAGAGAAGTCTATAGTCCAGACAATAGAGAAGTCTATAGTCCAAACTATAGAGAAGTCTATACTCCAAACTATAGTGATATCTATAGTCCAGACTATAGAGAAGTCTATAGTCCTGACTATAGAGAATTCTATTGTCTAGAATTCTATAGTCCAAACTATAGAAAGTCCAAACTATAGTGATATCTATAGTCCAGACTATAGTGATATCTATAGTTCAGACTTTAGAGTAGTCTATAGTCCAGACTATAGTTATGTCTATAGTCCAAACTATAGAGAAGTCTATACTCCAAACTATAGTGATATCTATAGTCCAGACTATAGAGAAGTCTATAATCCAGACTATAGCGATGTCTATAGTTCAGATTATAGAGAAGTCTATTATAGTTCAGGTCATAGAGAAATCTATAGTTCAGGCTATAGAAGTCTATAGTCCAGATTTTAGAGAAGTCCAGACTATGTGATACTTATTTACGAGACTATAAAGATATCTATAGTCCAGACTGTAAAGAAGTCTATAGCCCAGACTATAGAGAAGTCTATAGTTCAGATTATAGAGAAGTAAATAATCGAGACTAAAGTTTTAGAATGATATGACAGAAATTTTCGGTATCTGATACCAATTTAAGAAAATCTAAAAATCACCTACCTATTGCATCCATAAATTGTATAAACTTTGACATTACCCTTTAAAATCTATTCTTTCTAATTTATATCAAGTTATTCCCCTTTTGCCACCCTTAAAGAAAAAAGCGCAGCTGTGCCTTAAAAGTTTAGAATTTTTAAATTTCTTTCAATTTCTAAACAATAAGCCTGGGAAATTTTTCTTAAAAAACTAAAATTTTTCCAACTTACCTTTAACAGCTTCGTAGTATCCCAAATCCAGCGTGAATGATTTTTATTTAACCACCAAAACGAAAAAATAATGATGAAGAAGGAAACTCTAAATACGCCTTCCTAGTTGTCTCTCCTAAAATGTGCTCTTTTTTCTTGCTGGCAGGACGATACAAAATTTCTTTATAATGAAATTTTGTGAGCTGATCTAGTGAAACTAGTTTTGCTCTTGCGATCTTTTTTTCACTTACAACAACTTGTAAATCAAAAATTGTTTAAAAAAAAACTTAGTTTTTTTTGTAATTTCCTTTTTGATGTTTGTTGTTGTTGTGGGTTTTTTAAGGTAGGTAGAAAAAACGTTGACGTTTCAAGTTAAACTTTTGTTGTAACCGTTTTCTCTCTTTCTCTGCTCTGCTTTTTTTGGGGGTTTCTTCTCCTTTAGTAAAAAAGTTCAAAATAAAAATTTTGCTTAAATTTTTTGTTTGAACTTTTGTTAGTATGGTGTGGTTGTTTTTTTTTGGTATTTCTAAAATTCCAGGTGATCTTTATAGGGTGTTTAGAAGGAAGAGCTGTTAAACCGGAAAGAAAAAAAGGAAGAAAGAGAATTGTGAGTAAATGCGTAGAAGATCAACATTAAATCAAGGTAAGTTTATAAGTAGTTGTAGTTTTTGTTTCTTAAAGTTTTGGTTATTTTTTGACAAAATTTAGTTGTTTTAAGAATTTTTGTAGTAAAACTTGTTGTAATTATTAACAGTCTGGTTTTTAATTTTTTTTTAAATAACTTAAATTTTTTTAAAACAATTTAATGAACCAACAGTTTCAATTACAAAAAAATATATGAAAAACTGTTTATGTTTTGCACTATGGGTTGAACAGTGCTACCTTCGTTAAGAAATTTAGGTTATAATCTTATCTATATCCATAGACTAGTCCATAATCTATTCAATAGACTAGTCTATAGACTAATACTCAGACTAGTCAATAGATTAGTCCATAGACCAGTCAATATACTAGTCCTTATACTAGTCCATAGACTATTCTATAGACTAGTCAATACACTAGCCCATAGACTAGTCAATAGACTAGTCAATTGACTAGTCAATAGACTAGTCAATAGACTAATCAATAGCCTAGTCAATAGGCTAGTCCATAGACTTAGCAATAGACTAGTCCATAGACTTGGCAATAGACTAGTCCATAGACTTGTCAATAGACTAGTCCATAGACTTGTCAATGGACTACTCTATATAGACTAATTCATAGACTAGTCAATGTCCTAGTCAATAGACTTGTCCATAGACTTGTCAATAGACTAGTCCATAGACTTTTCAATAGACTAATGCATAGACTAGTCAATAGAGTAGTTTATAGACTAGTCAGTAGACTAGTCAATAGAGTAGTTCATAGACTAGCCAATAAACTAGTCCATAGACTAGTCAATATATTAGTACATATACTAGTCCATAGACTAGTCAATATATTAGTATGTAGACTAGTAAATAGACTGGTCAATATACTAGTCCATTACTAGTAAATAGACTAGTCAATATACTAGTCCATATAGACTAGTCAATAGACTAGCCAATAGACTAGTCATAGACTAGTCAATAGACTAGCCAATAGACTAGTCATAGACTAGTCAATATACTAGTCAATAGACTAGTAAATAGACTTGTCAATAGACTAATCCATAGACTAGTTAATAGCCTAGTCTATAGATTAGTCAATACAAAAGTCCATAGACTCAATAAATTAGTCCATCGACTAGTCCATAGTCTATTCAATAAACTAGTACATAGACTACTCCATAGACTAGTACATAGACTACGCCATAGACTAGTCAATAGACTAGTACATAGACTTCTCCATAGACTAGTCAATAGACTAGTACACCGACTAGTCCATGTACTAGACTACTCAATAGAGTAGTTTATAGACTAGTCTATAGACCAATCCTTAGATAGACTAGTACATAGACTAGTCCATAGACTAGTCAACAGAGTAGTTCATAGACTAGTCTATAGAGTAGTTCATAGACTAATCAATGTACTAGTCAATAGACTAGTCCATAGACTTGTCAATAGACTAGTCCATAGACTTGTCAATAGACTACTCTATAGACTAGTTAATAGCCTAGTCTATAGATTAGTCAATAGAAAAGTCCATAGACTCAATAAACTATTCAATAGACTAGTCCATCGACTAGTCCATAGTCTATTCAATAGACTAGTCTATAGACAAGTCCATAGACTAGTCTATAGACAAGTCCATAGACTAGTCAATAGACTAGTCCATAGACTAGTCAATAGACTAGTCCATAGACTAGTCAATAGACTAGTCCATAGACTAGTACATATACTAGCCTATAGACTAGTACATAGAATAGTCAATAGCCTAGTCCATAGACTAGTCAATAGCCTAGTCCATAGACTAGTCCATAGGCTAGTCCATAGACTAGTCAATAGACTAGTAAATATACTAGTCAATAGACTAGTCCATGGTCAATAGATTAGTCCATAGACTAGTACATATACTAGTCTATAGACTAGTACATAGAATAGTCAATAGCCTAGTCCATAGACTAGTCAATAGCCTAGTCATTAGCCTAGTCCATAGACTAATCCAGATATTAAGTTATTGACTAGTCCTTAGACGAGTTCATACGCTGATCCATAGACTAGACCATAGCCTTGATATTAGCTTAGTTCAATAGAAGAAAATGCCGAAAAGATATTGAATACTTTTAATCCAAAGTTAGTATCATTTCAAAATTTCATTTTTCACACCTGTAACCCACAGATCCCCTGAGTTATAACGTTAAAAAGACCTAAATAAAGAGAGTCTCATTAGCCAACATTTATTCATTCACACATTCTGGCCTGCATGCACACACAGAGAGAGAGAGAGAGAATGCTACGGATCTTGTTTAAAACTTCAAAAAAATGTTGCAAGAAGTTGTTTGTAACCCAAAAAAAAAAACACAAATTTGTGACTTTGTTGACCTTAATTTACAAACAAGGTACAAATCAATATTGTAACCAAGAACTTAAAAAACTTGTTTATATTTTATGAACAAATTTTTTAGTTTGTTTTTGTAAAAGTTTTTCTATAGAATACGAAAGACACGATCACTTAGCAAATGTTTGTTTTATTTTTTGGTTAATTGTTTCTAAATTTAAATGTTTGTTTTTTTAAGAAAAAAAAAGAAAACTTTGTTTTCGAAAGAAAAGTTTATTACAGTTTTACTTTCACATTAATTGTTTTAGTAGCGGAGACACTAGAGGAGAGTCTTCAGTTACAGTCCCACATCAATTAATGTGAATTGTTTTGAATTTTGTCAAGATTTTGTGTGTGTGTGTGTAAGATTGGATTTTATGTTTTATGAAAATTTATGTGACTTTTTTTATTGAAAATCAAAGATAGTTTTGTAAAAATTGTTAAAGTTTTTTTCTATGATTGAGTTCTATTGATTTAATATTAATATTTTTATAGGTTTTTTATTAAACTATTACAAAATAAAAGTTTGGTAATAAAATTTTGTAAAAAAATTCACTTCAATTAAGAATATTTGGGAAACTTAATTTAAGATCTTTTTCAAAATGTTTTGATTTTGAAATTTTAAGAATTTTTTTTTATTAATTATTGATTTAAATGATTTATTGTGGTTTATGATTTTTTGATTATTTATTAGAAAAAAAATTCTGCTTATTAACAACCTAATTTTTTTTATAAATTCATTAATTTTAATCAATTTAACCTCAAGGAATATTCACGAATATTTTTTTATTTTGCTGTTAAGGTATTTTAAGTTTTAATTTAGCAAATATTTGTTGAGCTAAAAGTGATTTTTAATTAATAGCTTAATTAAATATTTGTTAAATAAACAATTTCTTATAAAACAAAATATTTTAATTTTTTAAGATGATAAAACTATTTTTGTAATATTTCCAGAACTTTTATTTAAACAAATTTTTCATATAAAAAATGTATTTTAAAATAACGGTTATATATAAAATAAGCTTTCTAATGAGATATATAAATCAAAAATCGGTTAAAATTAAGTCATTTTTATAGGAGAGTAAAAAAACTTTCATCTTTTCTTAAAAAGTTTCAAATTTTAGAACATTTTCTTTAACAATTTTCAAAAACTTAAGAAGTTTTTTATGGGATCTAATAAAAAATATGCAAGAGTTTATAACCTAAAAAGAACTTTACTTAAAAAAGGTTAAAAACTCTAAGGTTTTCGGGGAAAATTGTAATTTTGACCCATAATTTATTATTATAATTTATTTTATATGACATTATTTGATAATATTTTTCAATTTTAAAGAAAAAAATGTCAAGGAAAGCTTCCGGTAGGTTAATATTTAGTGTACTAGTCTGTTAGACGGGAGGTCATGGGTTCGATTCCCACCTGAGGCTCTAGTTAATAAGCTCTCAACAGGCACGATAGAGGCATATGTGTATTTTTTCGGTTTTAATGTAACACACATCCTCCTTTCATATTAACTAACCAAGGAAGATTTTACCGCAAACGATAGAAACATTAACCCTTTAAATTCCCTTTAAATTCAAAGGTCAAAGGTCAACATTATTGTTTATTTTTAATTTTTGCATTAAATTCCAACAGAATTGAATAAAAGAGTTTAGTTATTGTTTTAAAGGGCCATAAGAAATCTAAACTGAACATTTTGTTAACCCTCGATAATCTTAAATCTTTCAATATTGGGGTCAAAGGTCAAACTTTATGAAAATTTATAATTTTTATTATTAAAATGCCATATAAATTAATAAGCCAAATATTAATACTCTTACCTTAAAGGTCATATAAACTTAACTTTTACTACAATAGAGAAATCTTAACCTTACAAATTCCTAGAGGTCAAAGTTCATTATATTAAAATATTTGCAATTTTTGTTAAAATGCAACCGCATTAAGTTAAAAAAATTAAGAAGTCTTGTATTAAGAATAATATCTACAATAACACAATTTTACTCTAAAAGATAAAACTTTCAAACCGGGGTCAAAGGTCAACATTTTAATTTATATGTAATTTTTGATTAAATTTCAAAAGAATTGAATAAAAAGAAGTTTAGTTGGTATTACCACAAGACATATGAAATATAAACTGAACATTTTGTTGCCCCTATATAATATTACAGCTTTCAATACCTGGGTCAAAGGTCAACCTTTATAAAAATTTATAATTTTTTAATTAAAATACAAAATAAATTAATTAATAAGCAAAATATTGTTACTTTCGCCTTAAAAATTATATAAACTTAAGCTCTAACTGCAATAACAAAATCCTAACCTTTCAAATTCCTAGAGGTCAAAGTTCATTATATTAGAATATTTGCAATTTTTGTTAAAATGTAACGGCATTAAGTTAAAAAAACATTAAGAAGTTTTGTATTAAGAATAATATCTACAATAGCACAATTCCACTCTAAAAGATAAAATATTCAGACTTTCAAAACCGGGGTCAAAGGTCAACATTTTTGTTTATTTTAAATTTCGGCATTAAATTTCAAAATAATTGAATAAAAAAAGTTTAGTTAGTATTACCACAGGCCATATGAAATATAAACTGGATATTTTAATACCAGGGTCAAAGGTCAACCTTTTTGAATATTTATAATTTCTTATTAAAATGCCATATAAATTAATTAATAACCAAATTATTATTACTCTCGCCTTAAAAATTATATAAACTTTAACTTTTACTCCAATCGCGAAATCTTAACCTTTTCATTACCGTAGGGTCAAAGTTCAATATGTTAAATTATCAATTATTTCAAACAGATAGTGTTCGTATGGGTTTTAAGAAATGGAACTTATTTTGACCTTCTGCATATAAAAGGGATAATTTCCGTAACGTTTCAACAAAATCCATTTTAACCTTTTTAACAAAAATTCTCAATTATTTAAAATATGAACTTTGACCCTACAAAATAAAGGCTTAAATTCGATTATAAAGAAATCTAGATAAGAAATTTATTTTTATTCGATTTGTAATATTCTGAAATTCTCGAAATATTTTAAAAAAAAGTCTCTTAGTTTTTTAGATTTTGTTTAAGAAAAAAAAAATCAATTTAATATTAAAAATATATTAAATTTTAATAACAATATTTTTCAATATTTGATTTTTTTTAAATAAAATCGATTTCGAAAACTTTTTGATAAAAATTTTAAAAAGTTGTCTTTCCTATTTTATTAACATTTCCTGAAGAAGTTTAAAAAAACATTCAATATTTTCAAAACATAATTCTAATTAACGATTTTTCCAAAATTTTAAATTATTTTCAAATATTGTTGACAAAAAAAAAAAACTATTATTTAATTTTAAAATTTTTTTATAATTTTTTAGCGTTTTGACAATTTTTCCAAAATTTTTTTTAACTTTAATTTTAAAACTACCTTTTCATTATTTTAAGTTTTTTTTTTTAATTCAAGCGTTTTCTTTTTTCATAAAATCATTCAAAAAATTCACTTTTTATTTCGTTTTTTTTTTTTCAATATTTTTCAATTATTCGAATTTCTCTTTACTTGGCATAAATTTTGTAATTGATTTTTTCTTGTTTTTTTTTTAATTTTTTTCAGATTTTATTTAAAACGCGTTTTATTTGCTTTTCGTTTCTCTTGTCCGTATTTCCATTAAAATCTTTTCGAATAGAGAAGAAAACAAGATTTGGTTGTAGCACCGAGTGCTGTTTATGGTTAACTGATTTGTTGTGATTGTCAGTCAGTCAGACTTTTGCCACGATTTGAATTCAATTCCTCAACACTACTACAACAACTAACACACATACTCATGCGCTCACTTTTAAACATCAATATTATTTTTTTGATTTTCTTGTTTGTTTTAACTTTATGGATTTTTTTCTGCGTTTTGAAAATATTGTCGATTTTTTTTTGCGGTCTTCTCTCTCTTAGTTACTCTCCCTCTTGGGGGCTTCGAAAAGAAGCAACATCATTTAGTTGTTCTTCAAAGTGAAGTGAAAGAGTTGGTATTGGGGGCTGCCAGATGTTGTTGTTTCAAAAAATTGGTAGGTTTTTTGGCATATGACTATAGACTAGATTATAGACGAGACTATCGACTAGATTATAGACTAGACTATAGACTAGACTATAGACTAGACTATAGACTAGTCTATAGACTAGACTATAGACTAGACTATAGACTAGATTATAGACTAGACTATAGACTAGACTATAGACTAGACTATAGACTAGACTATAGACTAGACTATAGACTAGACTATAGACTAGACTATAGACTAGACTATAGACTAGACTATAGACTAGACTATAGACTAGACTATAGACTAGACTATAGACTAGACTATAGACTAGACTATAGACTAGACTATAGACTAGACTATAGACTAGACTATAGACTAGACTATAGACTAGACTATAGACTAGACTATAGACTAGACTATAGACTAGACTATAGACTAGACCTATAGACTAGACTAGACTATAGACTAGACTTATAGACTAGACTATAGACTAGACTATAGACTAGACTATAGACTAGACTATAGGACTCGACTATAGACTAGACTAGACTAGACTAGACTTAGACTAGACTAGGACTATAGGAACTAGACTATAGACTAGACTATGACTAGACTATAGACTAGACTATAGACTAGACTATAGACTAGGACTATAGACTAGACTAGACTATAGGACTATAGACTAGCTATAGACTAGACTATAGACTAGACTAGACTATAGACTAGACTATAGACTAGACTATAGACTAGACTATAGACTAGACTATAGACTAGACTATAGACTAGACTATAGACTAGGACTATAGACTAGACTATAGACTAGACTATAGACTAGACTATAGACTCGACTATAGACTAGACTCTAGACTAGACTATGACTAGACTATAGACTAGACTATAGACTAGACTAGACTATAGACTAGACTATAGACTAGACTATAGACTAGACTATAGACTAGACTATAGACTAGACTATAGACTAGACTATAGACTAGACTATAGACTAGACTATAGACTAGACTATAGACTAGACTATAGACTAGACTATAGACTAGACTATAGACTAGACTATAGACTAGACTATACTAGACTATAGACTAGACTATAGACTAGACTATAGACTTGACTATAGACTAGACTATAGACTAGACTATAGACTAGACTATAGACTAGACTATAGACTAGACTATAGACTAGACTATAGACTAGACTATAGACTAGACTATATACTAGACTATAGACTAGACTATAGACTAGACTATAGACTAGACTATAGACTAGACTATAGACTAGACTATAGACTAGACTATAGACTAGACTATAGACTAGACTATAGACTAGACTATAGACTAGACTATAGACTAGACTATAGACTAGACTATAGACTAGACTATAGACTAGACTATAGACTAGACTATAGACTAGACTATAGACTAGACTATAGACTAGACTATAGACTAGACTATAGACTAGACTATAGACTAGACTATACACTAGACTATAGACTAGACTATAGACTAGACTATAGACTAGACTATAGACTAGACTATAGACTAGACTATAGACTAGACTATAGACTAGACTATAGACTAGACTATAGACTAGACTATAGACTAGACTATAGACTAGACTATAGATTAGACTATAGACTAGGACTATAGACTAGACTATAGACTAGACTATAGACTAGACTATAGACTAGACTATAGACACGACTATAGACACGACTATAGACTAGTCTAATAAACAATCACGAACACAAATTTTCTATATAACACCCTAAAGAATAAGGGGATACTTATGATCCCGTTAGCGATTAGTAGAATCTAGTTGAAAATTGAAAACGCAGTATAATTTTTTTCTCTCTAGACATGTAGTTTTTTAAAAATCTTACAAATTATTTGTTATAAATTACAGATCAATTTTCCTAAAGTATCTAAGTAATATTTATAAATCTGGCAGCTCTATAAGTAATAAAAATTGATGCTCTCACTGCCCCACACAGACTCTTTTAATGATAGACTCTGTCTCTCTCAATTACTAATACACTCACTAGCAACTTACTAGCGTAACACTAACTTTAACATCGTCGCTATTTCTTTTCGCTTATTTTGTATTTGTTGTATTATTCTTCTTCTTGGTTTTTGCTTTTTCATTTGTTTTTTTTTATTGTTTTTTTTTTTCTTATTTTCTATTTGGAACTTTACTTGATGACTTGGGTTTTAAATTATTCTCTTAATGCGGCGTTGTTGCTGTTTATTTCTTAGGTTTTTTTTTTCGTACAAAATTTAACACAAATACACACAACAACAAACTGGTTTACAAAATGTACAACAGCAACAAAATCTACAACATTCCTAAAGTTTTATTTTAGCTAGAGCTTGCTAATGCTGCTGCTAAAAGCAGAAAAAAAAGTTGGTATAAAATCATTTTCTAGTTTTAAATCTTTATACATTTTTAACTAGAAATCAAAAAATTCTTTCACTTTTTCTAGTAGTTGTTGTTCTTACAGATTAATCTAATTAAATTACTTATTATATTATTTGTTTAATTGAGGATTACTTTTGTTTAAGTTGCAGATTTGCACACACACTCACTTCATTCACTTGTTGATAGGTTTTTGCACAAATAAATTACTAACAATTTGTTATAAATATTTGTGTAATTTTTATTTTATTATTTGTTGTTGTATCCTCCTCTGTTTTGTTCAATAAATATGTAACTTTTTTGTATATTTTTTGTTCACTTTTATTTATTTTTCATACAAAAGCGGTTTTTGTGTAATAGTTTTTTAACTAGTATTGGTTGTTTTTTTTTTGTTTCTTTTTCAGCTTTTTTGCTTATACTTTTTAATTCTTTAGTTTTAATTCTCCGCACTCACGTCCATTCGTTTTAAAACACAACTCTCAACTGAATCCCACAAAACGGTTTGAAATTATTTCCAACTTGGTTTTCTTTTTTATTGTTGTTGCTGCTTTTTACTTGTTGCGCATTTTCTCCAGTTCAACGAGTTTCTCCCTCTCTCTCTATGTGCCTGGTTTACTTATTATCACTCTCTTTTTCCCCACCTTTATTACAATGTTTTCTTATTTGTTTAGTTTTGGTGTTAGATCAGCAATATTGTAAAAACAAAAAATTATCACACACACAGATTTTTACAGCGTTGCCAGCTAGATTGATTTACTAGTAGCTATGTATGTGGGGAATAGAAAAGAAAAGGCTTAAAAAACATGGGAAGACAATTGTTAAAAATAAATTTGTAAATAAAATAAAATTTATTGTCTAGTCTATAGTCTAGTCTATAGTCTAGTCTATAGTCTAGTCTATAGTCTAGTCTATAGTCTAGTCTATAGTCTAGTCTATAGTCTAGTCTATAGTCTAGTCTATAGTCTAGTCTATAGTCTAGTCTATAGTCTAGTCTATAGTCTAGTCTATAGTCTAGTCTATAGTCTAATCTATAGTCTAGTCTATAGTCTAGTCTATAGTCTATTCTATAGTCTAGTCTATAGTCTAGTCTATAGTCTAGTCTATAGTCTAGTCTATAGTCTAGTCTATAGTCTAGTCTATAGTCTAGTCTATAGTCTAGTCTATAGTCTAGTCTATAGTCTAGTCTATAGTCTAGTCTATAGTCTAGTCTATAGTCTAGTCTATAGTCTAGTCTATAGTCTAGTCTATAGTCTAGTCTATAGTCTAGTCTAGTCTATAGTCTAGTCTAGTCTATAGTCTAGTCTATAGTCTAGTCTAGTCTATAGTCTAGTCTATAGTCTAGTCTAGTCTAGTCTATAGTCTAGTCTATAGTCTAGTCTATAGTCTAGTCTATAGTCTAGTCTATAGTCTAGTCTATAGTCTAGTCTATAGTCTAGTCTATAGTCTAGTCTATAGTCTAGTCTATAGTCTAGTCTATAGTCTAGTCTATAGTCTAGTCTATAGTCTAGTCTATAGTCTAGTCTATAGTCTAGTCTATAGTCTAGTCTATAGTCTAGTCTATAGTCTAGTCTATAGTCTAGTCTATAGTCTAGTCTATAGTCTAGTCTATAGTCTATTCTATAGTCTGGTCTATAGTCTAGTCTATAGTCTAGTCTATAGTCTATTCTATAGTCTAGTCTATAGTCTAGTCTATAGTCTGTCTAGTCTATTCTATATCTATAGTCTAGCCTATAGTCTAGTCTATATTCTAGTCTATAGTCTAGTCTATAGTCCAGTCTATAGTCTAGTCTATAGTCTAGTCTATAGTCTAGTCTATAGTCTAGTCTATAGTCTAGTCTATAGTCTAGTCTATAGTCTAGTCTATAGTCTAGTCTATAGTCTAGTCTATAGTCTAGTCTATAGTCTAGTCTATAGTCTAGTCTATAGTCTAGTCTATAGTCTAGTCTATAGTCTAGTCTATAGTCTAGTCTATAGTCTAGTCTATAGTCTAGTCTATAGTCTAGTCTATAGTCTAGTCTATAGTCTAGTCTATAGTCTAGTCTATAGTCTAGTCTATAGTCTAGTCTATAGTCTAGTCTATAGTCTAGTCTATAGTCTAGTCTATAGTCTAGTCTATAGTCTAGTCTATAGTCTAGTCTATAGTCTAGTCTATAGTCTAGTCTATAGTCTAGTCTATAGTCTAGTCTATAGTCTAGTCTATAGTCTAGTCTATAGTCTAGTCTATAGTCTAGTCTATAGTCTAGTCTATAGTCTAGTCTATAGTCTAGTCTATAGTCTAGTCTATAGTCTAGTCTATAGTCTAGTCTATAGTCTAGTCTATAGTCTAGTCTATAGTCTAGTCTATAGTCTAGTCTATAGTCTAGTCTATAGTCTAGTCTATAGTCTAGTCTATAGTCTAGTCTATAGTCTAGTCTATAGTCTAGTCTATAGTCTAGTCTATAGTCTAGTCTATAGTCTAGTCTATAGTCTAGTCTATCTAGTCTATAGTCTAGTCTATAGTCTAGTCTATAGTCTAGTCTATAGTCTAGTCTATAGTCTAGTCTATAGTCTAGTCTATAGTCTAGTCTATAGTCTAGTCTATAGTCTAGGTCTATAGTCTAGTCTATAGTCTAGTCTATAGTCTAGTCTATAGTCTAGTTTCTATAGTCTAGTCTATAGTCTAGTCTATAGTCTAGTCTATAGTCTAGTCTATAGTCTAGTCTATAGTCTAGTCTATAGTCTAGTCTATAGTCTAGTCTATAGTCTAGTCTATAGTCTAGTCTATAGTCTAGTCATAGTCTAGTCTATAGTCTAGTCTATAGTCTAGTCTATAGTATAGTCTATAGTCTAGTCTATAGTCTAGTCTATAGTCTAGTCTATAGTCTAGTCTATAGTTAGTCTATGTCTAGTCTATAGTCTAGTCTATAGTCTAGTCTATAGTCTAGTCTAAGTCTAGTCTATAGTCTAGTCTATAGTCTAGTCTATAGTCTAGTCTATAGTTAGTCTATAGTCTAGTCTATGTTAGTCTATAGTCTAGTCTATAGTCTAGTCTATAGTCTGTCTATAGTTAGTCTATAGTCTAGTCTATAGTCTAGCTATCGTCTAGTCTATAGTCTAGTCTATAGTCTAGTCTATAGTCTAGTCTATAGTCTAGTCTATAGTCTAGTCTATAGTCTAGTCTATAGTCTAGTCTATAGTCTAGTCTATAGTCTAGTCTATAGTCTAGTCTATAGTCTAGTCTATAGTCTAGTCTATAGTCTAGTCTATAGTCTAGTCTATAGTCTAGTCTATAGTCTAGTCTATAGTCTAGTCTATAGTCTAGTCTATAGTCTAGTCTATAGTCTAGTCTATAGTCTAGTCTATAGTCTAGTCTATAGTCTAGTCTATAGTCTAGTCTATAGTCTAGTCTATAGTCTAGTCTATAGTCTAGTCTATAGTCTAGTCTATAGTCTAGTCTATAGTATAGTCTAGTATAGTCAATGGTCTAGTTTAGTCTAAACTTCTAGAAAGCATGTAAAAAAGAAGATTTAGATTCCAAAGATATCTGAGGTCTTCAAAAAATCATCTTTATCAACTACGCTATTTATAAGGATCCAGAATATATGTATATACTTTACGGGTTCGGAAAATTATATGGTAGAAATTATAAACAGAATGGTAAATGATAAAAATAAACGTCTCCGTAGCAGAAAGATTGTATTTGTACTCTAAGCGATGGGCCTTTTGTTAAATAGTGAATTAATAGAAATTAATCGCTATTATAAAGTTTGATATTTAAATGTTATCGATTACGCTTATCAAAGACACTTTATATTTTTTTAATTTTACACTTACTAGCAGATGACGCAGTGTGTGAGACATGTCTCGGCTATATTCAGTTATGATGTTGCTAACGAAACATAGATGGCGCCGTGTAACATAATATTGTTCATTGACAATATTTTGCTGCGTTCAACACCAGTGTTGCCAGAAAAATGGTGAGCAATGTTCCCAATCTTTGGCTGAAAGTCTCCAGAAAATGTCCATTTTTAATTGATTGGTGCAGCACATATAAAACAAATGATATAAATTAAATGACGGATGTACTCTTTATAAACGAGGGTAAAGACAATTGTTGTTTAGTGTCCCATTGGTGACGATCCTATTGGAAGCCTAAATTGTAGGATAAATAAGTAGTTCGGGACTATCCGACCGAACTGCTGGGGGTTCTAATTGGGGGAATTTTAACTGGTCTTCGAACATGTGGCCAAATTAATATTACGGCTACCACACTGGTCGAATGACCTAGGAATTATTTGTTCAAAGCTCGATTTGAACGAATTTTACATGTTGCTTTTGGTGAAGGCCCCTACTGATTGTTTGTTTGCTCCATGGATATTTGATTTGGTGGGTTGAATGTCGAAACGTCGACTTTTCATAAATTGCAAAAAGTCGAAAAAATCGACTTTTCAAAAATACAAAATTCAGTTGGAAAGTCGACATTTTCATTCAACTGTAGAACCTAGGGTTCTATATAATAATCGAGCAATCGACTTTTTGTCGAAAAAAGTCGAAGTTTGTTAAAAAAAAAGTCGATAACTCGACTATCGTCTAAAAAAAAGTCGAAAAGTCGATTTTGAAAATAAATAGTAGAAAAAGTCGAAGAGCCGGAAAAAGTCGGAAAAAAGTCGAAAAAAATCGAAAAAATTCGAAAAAGTCGAAAAGTCGGAAAAAGTCGAAAATAGTCGGAAAAGTCGAAATACAATAATAGTACAAAAAAAATAAAAAATACTCGAAAATTCGAAAAAATACAAAAACTCTAAATAGTCGGAAAAAGTCGAAAATAGTCGGAAAAAAACTCGAAAAAAGTTGAAAATATTCGAAAAAAAAAAACAAAAAGTTGAAAAAAATCGGAAAAAGTCGGAATAAGTAAAAAAGTCGACTATTTATAAAATACTAAAAGTCGAAAAATCTTACTTTTCATGAAATGCAAAAAGTCGACTTTTAGTTTCAACTATAAAACCCTAATAGAACTGTACTTTAAGGAGTGTATAAGACCATACATTTTTTACATTACTAATAAATACCCGTTTAAAAAATGTTTTTTATCAAAAGTTTTCAACAAATGTAATAACGTAACGCTACGTTAGAGTAATTAGTTATTTGAAAATTTAGTGTTGGTAAATTATTTAATTTCTCTTTTAGTTAACAATTCTGTTACAGCCTATTTAAACAGCTGCAGCAGGTCTGTAATGTAAAAATTACAATAATTTTCTTTAATTTTTTATATTCTTTAAGAAATTAATTGATTTCTTAACAATTTATTGCTTTTCAATGCAACCCTGCGTTATTAAACAACAAAAATTTGCTGCTGGCAGTGCTGTGACAGTGACTAAGAATTTAGTGTTGGTAAAATGTTTCAATTTCTCTCACACACAATCAGTTGAGCTCGCGATGTGGAAAAGAAAAAGTCGGGCGTGGAAGTCAAGTCAAAATAAATTTTACTAGAGTAAAAGAAAAAAAAAAGAATACAATTTGAAACTTAATTTTAACTTTTACACAAAAGTATTTAGTGAAAAAAGAAAAAAAAACAGTTTTTTATGGAAAATATATTTAACATAAATAGTTGAGTTTGTAAGAAAATGTGTTGAATAGAGAGAGAAAATTTGTAAAATTAACAACAAATAAAAGGTTTTAATGAAGTTTTTTTTTTGTTGGTAATTTTTTTTTTTGAGTGTGTGCGGTGTCTTTTAACAAATAAAAAGTGACGTGACGGGAACGTAGAATTTTTCAGTTTTTATTAAAATCTTTTTAAAAACTCCTGCTCTGCTAATAAGAGTTCTTCTTCTTGGGCAATTTTTCAGTTATGTACCAATAGAGAAATAGAAAAGGAAGAAAATAAAAAACAAAAGAAAACTGGAAAAATAACAAAATATTAAGAAAATTTTAATTTTTAAGTGTGAAAAAAAAAACAGCCGGTTAAGGCAATTTGTTGCTAAAAAAATTTAATTAAAATTGTGCAAAAAAAAAGAAGTGCAAAAGGAACTCAAGAGAGGGAACAACCCTTTTATTATTTTCCTATTGAACACATCCAACTACTGGATGGTGGGATTGTGTTTTAAAAGAAAAACAAAGATAAAGAAGAGCCACAAAAGCAGAGAGCAAATAAAATATAAAGTTTAAAGCAAAAAAAAGTGCAGAATATTTAAGAAATTTTTTTACAAAATAGTGCAAAATTAAATTGTTTAATAAATTTTAAAATATTTTCTTTTATTTGTATTTAAATTTTTCTCAATAACTAAACAATTTCTTTTATAATTTTAGCAAATTTATTAGTGAAAGCTTAATGTCAAGAGAAAATCAAATTGAAACACACAGCATCCAATTTATGTTAATAATTATAAAATAAATAAATAAGAAAAAAAGTAATAATAAGTTTGTGTGTAGAAAAGTTACAACAAAAAAAAAAAAACAATAAAAGATTTTTTTTGAACTTTTTAGTTTTTTTGTTAAAAAGGCAAAAAAATCTAGAAACACAAAAAAAAAAAAATAGCAAATCAAAATGGCGCACCAGCAGCAACTTGCCTCGGTGAATTGTTCATTGGATGATATCGATTTAGCTGCTTTAAGGGTAAATTTATTATTTAAAACTTAATTATAAACAATTTTCTATTAAAATTAATTTCTAATTAATTCAATTTATTATTAAAATCTTTAAAATAAAATTTCTAATATTTGGCAAAAACAACAAGAAAAAAATTGCTATGACTTCTCTACTCCATTCATCAAATTTCCTTTGTGTTAACTTGTCTTGCTTTATTTCTTTTCGTTGTTGTCTTTGCTGCAGCAGCTCTTTTCGTCAGGCTTGGAAAACAGTACAATTATAAAAGTAATCTCTTTGGTTGAGAAGTAGTAAATTTCTTGTGCGATTTTTTTTTATCTATAGATTGTGGACTAATCGACAGTTCTATCAATAGAACAATCTATAAATTAGATCTGTAGATTTGTCTATGACCTTTATAGGAACTATTGCATATAACAGCCTATGAACTATTCTAGGGTTCTAGTGTATAGACCAGTCTATGAACTAGTCTGTAGACCAGTCTATAGAACAGTTTATGAACTAGTCTATAGAACAGTTTATGAACTAGTCTATAGACCAGCCTATGAATTAGTCTATAGGCCAGTCTATGAACTGGTCTATAGACTAGTCTATGAACTAGTCTATAGATCAGTCTATGAACGTGTCTATAGACCATTCTATAGACTAGTCTATAGACCTGTCTATGGTCTATTCTATAGACCACTCTATGAACTAGTCTGTAGACCATTCTATGGACTAGTCTATAGACCAATCTATAAACTAGTCTATAGATCAGTCTATAAACTAGTCTATAGATCAGTCTATGCACTAGTCTATGAGCAAGTTTATAGACCAGTCAATTAACTAGTCTAGTCTATAAACAAGTATATAGTCCATAAACAAGTCTATATACCAGTCTATGAACTTGTCTATAGACCAGTCTATGAACTAGTCTATAGACCAGTCTATGAACTAGTCTATAGAGCAGTCTATGAACTAGTCTGTACACCAGTCTATGAACTAGTCTATAGACCATTCTATGAACTAGTCTGTAGACCATTCTATGGACTAGTCTATAGACCATTCTATGGACTAGTCTATAGACCATTCTATGGATTAGTCTTTAGACAATTCTATGGACTAGTCTATAGACTATTCTAAGGACTAGTCTATAGACCAGTCTATGAACTAGTATATGAACTTGCCTATAACCAGTCTATGAACTAGTCCATAGATCAGTTTATGAACTAGTCTATTGACCAGTCTATGGACTAGTCTATCAACAAGTGTAAGAACACGTCTATAGGCCAGTCTGTGAACTAGTCTATAGACCATTCTATGAACTTATCTATAGCCTAGTTTATGAACTAGTCTATTAACTAGTTTATAGACTAGTCTTTGCACTAGTCAATAGACTATTCTATAGGACAAGTCTATAGATCACTCTATGGACATGTCTAGAGACCAGTATTTGGACTAATATATATAGACCGGTCTATAGATTAGCCTATGTACTAGTCAATATATTAGTCTATGGGCTCGTCTATAGACTAATTCATTGTCTATGGACTAGTCTTTCAATCAGCTTACTAGTCTATTAACCAGTCTATGGACTTGCATTGATTAGTCAATGCTCTAGTCTATTGACGAGATACTGAACAGGTCTCTGGACTACTCTATGAAGAAGTTGGTTAATGAAGTAGTCTATTCACCAGCCTATTGTCTAGCTTTTAGGCTAATCTTATACATTAGGCTATTTACTGTCCTTGTCTATTGATAAGTTAATCTCATGGACTAGAAGTTGTCCATGGACTAGATTATTGATCAGTTTATTCATATTGACTACAAATTTTACTACTCTGTGAACTTGTCTATTGACTACTCAATGGCTTATTCTATTGAAAAGTGTAAGTCATATGATGTTGAGTTGTCAATATGCTTTAGTTCTAACTAGTCAGTGTGCTAAATTGATTAGTCAATATCTTAAGCCCATAAGCTAATCTATAATCTAGAAAATAGACTATTTCTGGACAAGACTATTGACTAGAGTCTATATCAAAGAGTACTGGAAAATGTACAACAGTATTAAATTTTCCATCCCTGTTTCTCGCCGTATGTTGTTGATTTTTTATGTTTTTTTTTTGTTTCTTGTTCTATGTATGAGAGTAGTTTGCCGTATCCGTGTTTATTTGTGTTTTGTTGTTGGTGTATGAGTTTTGTTGTTTTTTCCCTTTTCTCTCTATTACATTTTCTTTTTTTTTAAGATTTCTGTGTGCGTGTGTTGTTTTTGTGCGATGATGTTGGGGTTCTACGCCCTCTTTGTGCTTCTTTGTGTATTGCAAGAGTTGCCAAATACAAATAAATGTCACTTATTTGTATGCAAAATTTTGCAATCAAGAGGAATTTTATTTGTTTTAAAGATAATGAAAGTGAAAATATAAAATTTTATTAAAAGTTTTAGAAGCTTAATTTCAATTTATATAATTATCGATCCATTATAATTTCTGATTTACTTTATCATATTTTCTATTTAGTATTGTCAAAAGGTCAAAGGTTATTGTTAACAATCAGCAGTTTTATGCAGGTATATAAAACTATAAAATTCTTTGCTTGCCTTTCTTAATCCTCTTAAATACTCAGTAACTATTACCTACTTTCCTTAGACAGATTATGCGGGAGTAAAACAATTGGAAAAACACGCAAAATTATAAAATAAAAATTTATTTAAAGATTTGGAAATTTTGTCGTGAATTATTTTTTTGGGGAATTCATAAATAACTTTTTATATAAAACAAAATTAATAGCAATTTTCAATAAATTATACCGGGTTTTAAAAGAAAATACTTCACTCTCTCTCTAATAATCATTCTCCTTAAAACCTTGAAATTTATTGTGTAAAACTTTAATTATATTATATGATTACAAACTGCAATTTCATAAGAAAACAAATTAAATATTTAATAAATTCGATTACATATGATTTTACAAAGAATTTCCTTCAAAACCAATGACAACTTGAAAGCTTTAACATTATTAAAGCAACAACAAATTAATACATAATACAATACTCCTCTTACACTTGCTCCTCAAAAAAAATATAATCGTAATTTTGCTTAGAATTATTGTTGTTATTACTGTCATTGCATTGTAAGTGAGTTTATTTATTAGTGGTTGTTGGCCAAATGGGGGTGTGTGGAGTAGAAAAAAAAACACAGGAATTTTGTTACAAAAATATTAAAGTAACATGATTTCTACTCCTCTATATGTATATTTGTTTCTCTGTTCAATGAAGGGTAGAGTAAAAAGAGAGAGATAGTGAGAAATGGGGTGTTTACAGGTCATTGAGGAAAAAAAATTATTTTAATGAAATATGAGCTGTTGTTGGTATTTTGCTTACGAAATAAAAGTAAATACTAGTGAGAACAGCAGTAATAACAACAATAACCGCAACAATAAGCTTATGAAATAAAGAAAACAAGCCAAAGAAAATGCGAAAAAGAGGAAGAATAGAATGAAATAAGCTATAAATGTTTGGAAAACCGGCCGGTGGGGTAAAATAATATGAAAATAAGCATAAAACAAAGAGAAAAGCCGATCAGGAATAAAACGTAAAATAAAGAAATTGGTTTAAAGAAATTCAAGGGATATAAAAGGATTTTGTAAGATAGATAGATAGATAGATAGATAGATAGATAGATAGATAGATAGATAGATAGATAGATAGATAGATAGATAGATAGATAGATAGACAGATAGATAGATAGATAGATAGATAGATAGATAGATAGATAGATAGATAGATAGATAGATAGATAGATAGATAGATAGATAGATAGATAGATAGATAGATAGATAGATAGATAGATAGATAGATGATAGATAGATAGATAGATAGAGATAGATAGATAGATAGATAGATAGATAGATAGATAGATAGATAGATAGATAGATAGATAGATAGATAGATAGATAGATAGATAGATAGATAGAAAGATAGATAGATAGATAGATAGATAGATAGATAGATAGATAGATAGATAGATAGATAGATAGATAGATAGATAGATAGATAGATAGATAGATAGATAGATAGATAGATAGATAGATAGATAGATAGATAGATAGATAGATAGATAGATAGATAGATAGATAGATAGATAGATAGATAGATAGATAGATATAGATAGATAGAAGATAGATAGATGATAGATAGAGGATAGATAGATAGATAGATAGATAGATAGATAGATAGATAGATAGATAGATAGATAGATAGATAGATAGATAGATAGATAGATAGAAGATAGATAGATAGATAGATAGATAGATAGATAGATAGATATATAGATAGATAGATAGATAGATAGATAGATAGATAGATATATAGATAGATAGATAGATAGATAGATAGATAGATAGATAGATAGATAGATAGATAGATAGATAGATAGATAGATAGTAGATAGTAGATAGATAGATGATAGATAGATAGATAGTAGATGATAGATAGATATGATAGTATAGATAGATAGATAGATAGATAGATAGATAGATAGATAGATAGATAGTAAGATAGATAGATAGATAGATTAGATCGATAGATAGATAGATAGATAGATAGATAGATAAGATAGATAGATAGATAGATAGATAGATAGATAGATAGATAGATAGATAGCTAGATAGCTAGATAGATAAGATATATAGATAGATAGATAGATAGATAGATTAGATAGATAGATAGATAGATAGATTTAGATAGATAGATAGATAGATAGATAGATAGATAGATAGATAGATAGATAGATCGATAGATAGATAGATAGATAGATAGAT